CGCATACTTGTATTGCATTCAGTATCATATTGTTTGAGATTGTTCAGTATCTTAACTTTGTTCCCAACCCACATCAATGCTCATATTGTAGTACCAAGTTCATCAGAGCAGAGTTTAGATGCACGCATACAGCATCATGCTGTAAAAGCAGTAAAAGTGATCCCTGTGTGGGATCATCTATCTGTTTTTTTTTTAAAAACTCTCTTTGTACCTGACCATTCCTCTGCAAGCAGTGAACCAGAGCTGCTCTTGCCTGTCCAGGAAATTGATTTCACCCCTTCCAGCTGATGCCCACCATCTTTGTCTTCCTCTTTCTTTCTGTTCTTTCTCCTTCTTTTCTTTCTCCCTTTATTGCCTCCTCTTTGCCCCCTACCAATATCTGTCTCTCTCTTTTCCTCCTCAGCGAGGCAGAGAGGCAAGTGCCAATTCTTCCGAGTAATTTGTGAGCTGGGCGGATGATAGGATTGGTGGATTGCAGCACCTGGTGCTGTTTTGCATTGTCAGCCGAATAATCTGTGATTTATCACTCCAGAGATGAGCAGAGAGTGGAGGAAGACACAGAACAGAAAGAGTGGAATGAATTAAAGTGGAGAAAAGAACAAAAAACTGACAGTAAAAGCAACATTCTGCTGGTAGAGAAGTAAAACTGAGAGGAACAGGCGCGATCAACATCATTGAGTGACGTTATAAATACGCATATATGAATAACAGTTATAAGAAAATATGCTTTATTATTTTAAAACTTAATTCTTAAAATGTTTAATTGCTGTTGTTTCCTTTAATAGTAGCATTTTTGCATAAGAAATTTTTTTTTTTTCATTTGTGCTGTAACCTGGAATACTTTTGGTTTAAATTGCATCAAGAAGCAAATTTTTAGGTTTGTAAGTTTACAAACAAACAAAAAAAATACAAGATTAATTTATATGCATATACTGTGTGTGTGTATGTATATATATATATATATATATGTGTGTGTGTGTGTGTGTGTGTGTGTGTGTGTGTTTATAATATGCATATAAAGGATTTAGATTTTTGCTATACTGTTTTTGGGTGTATGAGTTCTTTTGGTGCTAGAAGTCATCCATGTGTATGTTATCCTCATTCAAAAGAGGTTTCTCTCTAAATTCTCTCCAAGTATGAGGACCTAAAGGTCCAAATGGGGCCAAACACAATTTATTTTATAGAGGTATTAGAAAACCTTCAATTGTTTTTGGGTTGTTCGCCCTTTCTTGTTGAGATATAATTTTCTCTTTACAGTGCTCCTCTCCGCAAAGAAACACTGGCCTTCATCTTTCTCTCTCATTGCCCAGTCTCCTCTCCCCCTCTCTTTAAAATAGAGACAGAGATTAAATCGATTTTTCAGTGTCATCAAATCCATGGCTCAGCTCTTTGGCTTTGACGAAGGGAAGTGTTTATACAGGTCCGTTCCGAAGTCGTGAAATAATACGACATCAGCTGCAGGACGGGAGGAAAACTGAGAAACCAGGTATAGAAGAATGAGCAAAAGACCAGTGTCAAAGAATACCTGTTAATATTTTGCTAATATACGTTACTAAAATTACTAGTAAATATACTAAAATTAAAGCTTAAAGTCTTCAAATCTTTGTTAATTGTTAAAATGTTGAGCATACAAAATTTTACCACCAGTGATAAATCTACTGCAATACTGTTATTGGTTTTCTTTCTTGCATTTATTTGAATATTGAATGGTAATTGTCCATCTATTGAAGCATCTGTAGTTCCATTTTACAGTGTTGCGATATACAGTATATTGATTCAACCTAACAGAAAACATGATTCATAGAGTGTCATAACTGAGGCCATTTCAATTTTTTCGATTATCTTTCTGCCTCGCTACTACTATGTATTTCTGTTTGCAATGCAAAAATAGTCAAATATGCTGCTTATTTGGATAAACTTTGGTTGTTTATACAATTATCAGCCTCAGAGGAGAAGTGTGATGCTGTGTCTCGGCTTCCAGAATGTTTTTATCATGTCATGTTTTTGATGTTCTGATATGGCCACATGCCACTTTAGCTGCCATTTCCTGTGCCATTAGCCTTGCGGTCCTCAGACCTGACACAGTCATTTCTGCTGCAGTGGCTGGCGGCTCTTAGAACAACACTGGAGATGATCAGAATTATAATATGCATATAAAGGATTTAGATTTTTGCTATACTGTTTTTGGGTGTATGAGTTCTTTTGGTGCTAGAAGTCATCCATGTGTATGTTATCCTCATTCAAAAGAGGTTTCTCTCTAAATTCTCTCCAAGTATGAGGACCTAAAGGTCCAAATGGGGCCAAACACAATTTATTTTATAGAGGTATTAGAAAACCTTCAATTGTTTTTGGGTTGTTCGCCCTTTCTTGTTGAGATATAATTTTCTCTTTACAGTGCTCCTCTCCGCAAAGAAACACTGGCCTTCATCTTTCTCTCTCATTGCCCAGTCTCCTCTCCCCCTCTCTTTAAAATAGAGACAGAGATTAAATCGATTTTTCAGTGTCATCAAATCCATGGCTCAGCTCTTTGGCTTTGACGAAGGGAAGTGTATATACAGGTCCGTTCCGAAGTCACGAAATAATACAGCATCAGCTGCAGGATGGGAGGAAAAACTGAGAAACCAAGTATAAGAATGAACAAGAGACCAGTGTCAAGGAATACCTGTGCAATGTTAATAATATATATTTACTAAAATTACAAATATAATATATATTTGCTTAAATTCTGAAAATCTCCTATTGACTTAGTGTTAAAATGTTGAGCATACAAAATCTAACCACCAATGCTAAATCCACTGCAATATTTGCTTTCTGGTTTGTTATTGGTTTTCTTTCTTGAATTTATTTGAATATTCAATTCTAGCTGTCCATCTACTGAATCAGCTATAGTTTGCCTTTTACTGTAAAGATGGTGTCACAATATACAGTGTTGATTCAACCTGACAGAAAACACAATTTAATAATATTACTGTTTATAATGGCCATTCACCACTATAATTTTTCTGCCTCATGAGTACTATTTTCAGTGCATTTCTGTGTTTTTTTCAATACAATGCAAATCTAGTTGAATATGCTGCTTATTTGGATAAACTTTGGTGGTTTATGCAATGATCAACCTCAGAGGAGAAGTGTGATGCTGTGTGCCAGCTTCCAAAAATGTTTTTATCATGTCATGTTTTTGATGTCCTGATATGGCCACATGCCACTTTAGCTGCCATTTTCCTGTGCCATTAGCCATGCGGTCCTCAGACCTGACAGTCATTTCTGCGGCAGAGAATGACGGGGTGGCAGCTCTTAGAACAACACTGGAGATGATCAGAAAGATAGGTGGACTGAAAAAGGTGCAAATTGTAAGAACTGAGATGGAAGCAAAGATAGAGAAATTGAGCGTAGCTTCTTTGCACAGAATTCTGGGTAATTGCTCTTTCGAGAGTGACACACATACACAAAAACTTGAGCGATTCTGGAGGGCGCCTTTATCAACTATCATTGTGTGGCGGTCTGTTATACATCCTCTCAGGGCTTGTGTGTGTGTAAGAGAGAGTGCATTTACTTTGATGGAATGACATTTTATCTCATATTTTTACTCTAATTGCCTGTGTTGAATGAATCACAGATCATTTTAGTTGGACTTACTTTTAAAAGGTTCTTTGTTTAACTGTCTGTTTAGAATGGAAATTCAATCCATATTTTTCTCTCTCTCTTGCTCTCCACCTCCCAGATCAAGTTTTCCCAGACCTCTTGGCATTTTTTTCCCAAAATAATTTGCCTCTGTTAATTTGGTTAAGTGTAAATGTGTACATTCAAGTACCACACATATCGTGATTAATTAGGATTAGAAATAAGTTTTCAGTTGTCTGGTTGATACCAATACTAATGAAATTTCACAATTCTCAATACCAGTACCACTAAAATGAATATTCTATAGAGCACAACAGTCTTCCATTCCATTCATTTTTTTTTTCAATTGGTTATTAACATGTAAACTTTTCAAAACAGACTTGCAATATGATAAATGGTTTTGTTTAAGCCACATTTTTACATAATCTTGTGTAATTGTCAATTTATAATAGTTAATTACGTCATTCACAATGCTTCATGGAACAAGTGGTTCATTCCTTTATAAGTACAGACTCTTGTATCCTTGACTTTATATCAGATTTTCAAGTACACACGGAATTGTTACATGTACTACAGAAGACTGGTATTGTTACATCTTTTTTTCCTTCTATATTTTAAAAGTGGTTCTATATTGTACTTGGAACTGGTATTGTTACATGTCTGGTCTGCTCTGAAGATCGATCATCACTGCTCTTATTTTTTCTCCAGCTCTCTTTCTCTCTTGCTTTCATTGTTAGGTGATTAATATTACCATGAAGTACACTATTGAACATGTTTATGAAATAAAAGCACCCGACAAACCACAAAAGCTTGAGCAGTTTGAGCCCTGCATGATCTGTGGACACACACGTGTTCACTTCAAAATTTCAGTCTGCCCCCACCGTGACCCTGAGCTGTAATAGTGAGATGTGACTGCTTTACGCTGCTTGAGCTCTTGTGTGTGTGTGTTTGTGTGTGTGTGTGTGTGTGTGTGTGATTTACCGTTAGGAAAATGATGGTGCTCTGTTCACCATGACAACGTTACACAGACACAGCCCATCAAAGTGTCATAAACGTCCAGCAGATACAGACCACCATTAATCACAACAGCGAGTAAAGAGGGCAACATGTGGAGAAAAGATGGGGGAAGAATGAAGTCCAGATAATAAAAAAAGAAGAAGAGGAAAAAGACAGTGAGACTAACAAGGGACACACTCACTTCTTTGTTTTCCCATTTTCACATGATTATGTGAAAAAAGTGCTCTCTCTTCAGATAAGTGTAATTGTGGCTAGAGCAGGGGAAAAATCATAGCAAATGCCACAGCTATTACAAAACCTACAAAAACAATCACAATTGTTCGATCCACCTCTACTTCAGCTTTCTGTTTCTCGCACTGCAGGTGTCTCTTGGTTGTGATGAGGTGTTGGTGAACGGGAAAGAGAAGAATGGGCATATCTCTCTTCAAGTGAACTTTACCTACCTCTATTTGACCAGCCAATTAGAGCTCACCGTCTGGGTGCCACGGTTACCGCTCCAGATTGACGTCTCTGATGCTGAACTCAGCCAAGTCAAAGGATGGAGGGTCCCCATCATCACCAACAAGAGGTGTGTGTCTGAGACAGCGAAAAGCATGTGTGTGTGTGTGTGTGTGTGAGCTGACATGAGGAGAAGGGCACACTGTCATTTTCAGCCACAGAGATCTAGAACCATCCCTCTCATTTTCATGGTATACGCTGTGCGTCTATGTGTGTATGTCTGTTTTTCTTTCACAGCCCAATTCTGCTTGTTGGCCTTCAGTCTGTCTGCTGGGCCCATTTTTCAATTTGGCCAATTTCTGTCTCTCTGCCTGTAACAACAAAACTACTGTTACCACCAGGAACCACACACACACACACACACACACTCTCTCTCTTTCTCTCTCTCTC